GACTGACCCCAATGACAACACGACTGGCCGGGGCGTCCCCCCCCCCCCCCCCCCCCCCGCCCCCCCCCCCCCCCCCCCCCCCACCCCCCCCCCCCCCCCCCCCCCCCCCCTCGCCCGACCCCCTCCGCACACCTCGCCGGATTCCGTTGACCCCAGGGCGGCGGATGTAGCCGGCGCGGACCGGCCCCGCGGGAGCGTCTCCCCCATCCACCACCGACCCAGGGAAGCGGGACCAGCCCCCAGACCACCTCGAAACGCGGGCGGGGCAGGGCCCGGGCCAGGCCAACGGAAATAACGCCCACCGTCAGCCCGTCCGTCTGACTAAAGGCAGGTCTGGGCGGCTGCCCCCCTCCCCCCGGGCTCACCCCACATTGCTGCTGGTGAGACAGAATCCTTCCACCAGGCGCCGACCACGCCGGAGGGCGGCCTTCCCCCCGCCCCTCTCCCCTGTCGCCTGTTGCGGGCCCCTCCCGCGCGTGCCCCCGACCGCGCCACGGCTCACAGCGCCCTTGGCCCCGGCACCCCCCGGCCGGCCCCGGGGCAGATGACACAAACAGGCGCCAATCCTAAACGATTGGGTCATTTCACGTGACATTTCGAGTGTGGTGTGATTATCATGTCGATCGCGATCTCAAGCCCGTCCCGGCAAGAGAAGCCTCTCCCCCGGCGGGCGCTGGCCCGATCGTGCGGGGGGTTCCCCGCTGATGTCCGGGCTTTCTCGGGAGGGGAGGGGAGCGATACCTCCTCCCTCTGCGCCAGACGAGACCCCCGAGAAGCCTTCCTGCCTCGACCGGATCCCCCCAAAGGCCGCGGCAGCCAGGCGTGTATGCATGTGTATTTGATGTGCCCTTCACGGCCGGAGGAAAAGGCCGAAAGCCAGCGGGGGAGGAGGCCTACTCGAAAGAGGGAATTTGGGACCAACTGTAGCCGGACTGCCCGCGCCAGGTGGCGACCGCAATCCACACATGGTAGAATCCAGGAATGAACACCAGTGAACCGAGCACAAAGAGTGGGATGATGCGGTCGTCATGCTGGAGGGAGGTGGGGCTGTCGTAGGGGGGGGGGGGATTATCCGCACCCAAGCGGAGGAGGGAAGAGGGCAAGACAGAAGATCAGCAAGAGCAGGCGAGGCAAGGGGGAAGGTGGACAGGACGCAGGGCGCACCTTCGCATCGCCAAGGTGCCCGGTGAACAGGAGCGAGGCCAGGGTAAGGAGGATGGCCCCGAGCACGAACAGCATGATGGCCACCAAGACCGACTTCCAGGGGATCTACTCCAGCGCATGAATCGGAGGGCGGGGCGGAACGGAGCGGGCGGTGGAGGGGGGCCAATTTCAAGACGGCAGGACGGCAGGACGGCAGGACGGCAGTGGGACGAAGCGGGTGAGGAGAGACAATGCCATGAGCGCCGCCGTGATCGGGCAAGTGGAGCCAGCACGTACCTGGTGATTCGGCCGGTTGAATTGAGCGTCAATAAAGTCGGGATTGGACGTCCGGGACCGGGCGGCGGCGCCAGCAGCAGTGAGGTCGCGCAGGGGGGTGTAGTTCCCGCGGCGAGTGTCTCCGGGGCGCCGCTGGAGGAAACGCCCGAGGGAAGACGAGCTGCCCGGGGGCGAGACGTCCTCCTCATCCAGGGAGTAGCGGCTGCTGGTGGACATGCCGTATTTCGGGAGGGAGCGTGAGGTGGGCGGGGAGGAGAGGGGGGGGGGGGACTAGGGAACAGGACTTGGACAAGCTGGGGAGATCGCGAGCCAGAAGGGCGGGGGCTGATCGGGACAGGCGAGAAAAGTCGAGCGGCATGTGTCGGTCACGTTATGTCGAATAATTGGAACCCCGGCGTTCCGAGTTCCGCCCGCAGGGTTACCGAAGAGGGCAAAAGTCGGCTGTTTATTATTATACAAGACATATATATGTGGTGATTGTTGCTCCATCCCCTTTGCCCCTCCCTAAAGAACCGGGCATATGCAGTATAGCGGCGGCATTAACTCCAGCCCGCATGATGATGAAGGCGTGTGTGGGACCAGGTGCTGTCGGGTACGATGCCCCCCCCCCCCCGCCCCCCTCCCCGGAAGGCTGTCCTAGCGCGGGAACCCGACGTGATGGCGGTCGACGGGGGGTGTCTGGTGGAGGCTGAGGCCAGGGTGTATGAGATGACCATAATGTGCATTTGGAACCCAGGAGGCGGCTCGCCTTCCCGGCCTGTGCGCAGCGTCTCCCCCTGGGGCGGGGCGGCTGAGGCGACGCCCGAGACGGCGGTGCGGACGGGGGTGCGGGCAGGGGCCGGGACAGGGGCGAGAGGCCCGAGGGCGGTGACGCTCGGGCAGGCGGTCGCCCTTCCCTGCTTTCCCGCGCGGACAGGGTTCCGGGGGGCCAGGCGTTTTGTCTCGGCATCTTCTTATCTCGTCCTCGTCGGGGGGGGGCGGGGGGGACGACCCGGCGGGTCTTCCCCGCAGTGGAGTTTGGCGAAAATGTTGGAACCCCCCTAAGTGCACATTGGAACCCCATATTATCTCTTCTTAGTGACATGGGTATTTAAGCATACGATGCCGGTGTCCTTCTCGGTTGGAAAAGTAGCCACACACTCCCCCCTGTTGAGATCGTGATCCCCTATCCTGAGCCCCGCTCTCGTTCCCTCTCCTTTTCCCCAGTCAACCATGTCCTCCGTCCCTGCCCCCGTCCCCGCCGCCGACCACAAGGGCGCTGACAAGAAGCCCGCCGGCAAGACCCCCTCCAAGGTCGCCTCCAAGGCCACCCGTGGTGCCGATGGCAAGCGCAAGCGCCGCACCAGCCGCAAGGAGACCTACTCCTCCTACATCTACCGTGTCCTGAAGCAGGTCCACCCCGAGACCCGCATCGGTACCGATGCCATGGCCATCATGAACTCCTTCGTCAACGACATCTTCGAGCGCATTGCCGATGAGGCCTCCAAGCTGGCCGCCTTCACCAAGCGCTCCACCATCTCTTCTCGTGAGATCCAGACCGCCGTCCGCCTCATCCTCCCCGGTGAGCTCTCCAAGCACGCCGTCTCTGAGGGTGCCAAGGCCGTCGCCAAGTTCTCTTCTCACTCTTAAATGCGCACGCGCGCGCGTCTCCCCCGCCGCGACCGTGTGCATGGATGTTGCTGTCGTATGATTGATCTCCGATTGTGTGTGAGCAAAAAAAAAGAAAAAAAATGCAAAGAATGTTCCGCGCCGTGTCCAGCACACGCGCGCATCCTCTCTCTCCGCACAGGATCTCCTCTTCAGTACTATTCTGCCCTGATGAGTGGACAGTGGACTGCTCTATCGCGTCCCGCTCTTTCTCCTCCTCCTCCCCCCCCCCCTTCCCTTCCCCCGGTGTTTAAAAAACACCACACTTTTAATAATTGAAAATCCCTCTTTCTTGCACATGCCATTCAGGGGAATGGCCCT